TTATTTCATGCATATTATTTTATTTTGTGAAAGTCATTCATGCTAAATAGAACTACAAGTGTTTTTTTTTTTTTTAGTTAAGTTTATTCATACAATTTAGGTATACATAATGATCTCATTCATCATAGGGAATTTGTACCTGTACATGATATGACTTGATTCTTTTCCCCTCATTTCTTTACCCTCCTTTCAACCACTCTTCCCCTACTTATTTACAAAGGCTTTGTTTCCATTTTTTCCTTTTTTTCTCATCATTTTCTCTCCTTTCCTTCCTCCATCACCCATGGTAGTTCCTCTTATCATTTGAATATTTGCACTCCATCTTTTTTCTAGGCAGATAGGTAGTTAGAAAGATAAGTACAAATGCAGGTATGTGTGAGTAGGCATATACTAAATTTTTTGTACCTTTTGAACATGGGTTTTATTTGCAGTACATCATTTTTCTTTATCCTGTGATACATCTATTTGTATTTTCTAAGCATGTTCTCTTAAAATATCCACAATATAATTATTAAATTTATGAAATTTGACACTAATATAATCCATTTAATATCATTTACAGTATTTATTTCTAATATAATAAGTTTTATGTTTTTTAAAGTTTGGATTAGGTTATTTATCTTTCTTTTACTTTTGCCATTGGCTTTTTTGAAGAATGAGAGACAATTACATTTTAGCAATGACCATCTCATGTGGTCATCAGTGCGGTTTTACGGAAATGGCTGGATACAGGCTGTGTGATGCTGGTATTAAGGGTGTGACACTAATATTAAAAGTGCCCCCTCTGGGAGTGGATCACACTGCCTAAAACATAGGTGGTTAGGAAGGGATAAAAGGGGAAGGCAGGGTGCAGCTGCTTTGCTACTTTACCGTGAGCACTTTTTCCTCTGCTATCGACCTCTCCTGCGATGCCCTGACTGGGACTCAGCCAATGATGCACTAAGACCTCTTAAAATATGAGCTAAAATGAAATTTCCTCCTTTAACTTTGAGTATTGAATAATTTGTCTCAACAATAAGAAAGTAACCAAGACAATGACAGTGGGTTGGAAATTAAATCACCTAATTTTATGCATATTTTACTCGACAGATATTATGTGGCTTTAAGTACATCTGTTGTATGAAATGACACATCATATAAGATAGTCTATTGTGATATTTCTGAAAGCATTTTTACTAAAAATTTTAATCATCACAATCAACAAATATAACTGCCAGATAAAATGCAATGAAATTTGAAATTCAGGAAAGCTATAATAGGTTAGGAAGATTTAAAATTTGGTGTCTGAATATTTTCATAGCTAAATTTGTTGTTTCTATCAGTACACTACACATGATCTACTTTAAAAGAATATAATGTATGAGGTGATTATCTGAGAATGATTTCATTATGAAATCATTAATGAAAAAAGGTTAAAAAAAAAAAAGAAGAAGAAGAAGAAGAAGAAGGGCCCTCTACTGGAACACTGGAGCAGTCCCCAGCATGGCCTAGCAGCCTTGGACTGCCACTGCTGCCCCCCCCACCATGGGAACACGTGGGCAACTCCAGCAGGCCTGAATCATCTGGGACTGCCACCGCTTGGCCCACCCCTCCACAGAAATTCCTGGGACACCTGTGTCATGACTGAGCCTCCTCGGTCTGCTGCTGTGGGCCCATCCCTGGGGAACACACTCATCTCCTGGACCTAGTACTGCAGTTGATCTTTGGTTCAAACCACTTCTCCCAGAACCTTGGACTACAGTGAATTATCATGCTGGATGGATGGGCAACTCAGGAACCCCTCCCCCAAACAGAAGACCACAGCAGGCTCCAGTCAGTGTGGTGAATTTGCCCCTAAAATAGAGGTCTACATTGGTAAATAGGAGTGGAAGTGAAACTCCCTTCAACTGTCAGACCTTGAGGAACCTGACAAGAGATTGGGTAATCCCCTCCTCCATACAGAGAACATCAGACAGGTTGAGGAGTACATCAATAAGGCCTCTGCCAACTTGGAGAAAATTATAAGAGCTTATAAGATCACCAGTGACACAATAGGACCTCAGCTGACAAAAACTCTAGAGACAGGGAAATCTGGTAATCTGCAACAACCTGAAGACATAGCAACATCAGGAACTAAGAACTGACCTACATCAATATTTCTATGTTAGTTAGCCCAGAAAGAATATAGGACTCATGCAACAGGCTCTGTAGGAAGAATTCAGTGGCTGGGGATTTAGCTCAGTGGCATAAGCACCTGCCTTGTAAGCAGGCGGTCATGAGTTCAATTCCTGGTACCGGTGAAAATGAAAAAGACAAAAAAAAAAAAAAAAAAAAAAAACCAGGAAGAATTCAGGTGACTGGCTCTCTTTTACATTGTGGTACCCAACAACTGGACAAACATCAACCACACAGTAGGATCCTAAATTCACACTAAGGACAGTTGAGACTGTTGGGATTGAAAGACCAAATATTTACACAAAGGTGAAAATGATAAAACGAAAAGGTAAAATGTAATCTTAAACATCTAGTCCATCAGGAGCAAGTACAGGTGACACTAAAATGGAGCACTTTAAAAGTTGTACACCAGGAATCTCTGAAAGCATAGCAAATGAAGTAAAGAAACAAATCCATGAAGCTACACAGAAAATCAAATTAGAAACAATCTCTTATGTAAAGAAAGAAATAACAAACTTAGTAAATAAGTTGCTCAACATAGATAGAGAAGAAATAGATTTTTAAAATGCAGGACCATGGGAAACTGAATGAAACTTTAGATGAATAATGCAGAAAACAAATAGAATCCATGAAACAAATTCAAAGAGATATTCGAGGAAAAAAAAAAAACTCATTGAAAGCTTGCAAAACCATTTAAATGAAGCTGAGGATAGAATTTTAGACCTTAAAGACAGGATGGCAGATAGTGATCATGAAAGGGTAGAATTTATAAAAACAACAAAGCATCATGAAATGACAATCCAGCAGCTTCAAGATGATGCCAACAGAAACAATATAAGACTAATAGGCATCAGTGAAGATGCAGGAGTCAATGAAAATGACATAACTAAACTATTCACAGAAGTAATAGCAGAAAATTTCTCACACATAGGAAAAAAGTCTGCTATACAAATAAGTGAGGCATACAGAATGTCAGTCACAACCAACATAAATATATACCCAGACATATAACGATTAAGATCCGAGACATACAGCATAAAAATAGAGTATTAAAAGCTGTTAGAGAAAAGACACAGCTTATCTATCAAGGAAAGCCTGTTAGAATCATGGCAGACTTTTCAGCACAAATCTTCAAGTTAAGATGAGCTTGGAGTGAAATATTTCAAGCCCTGAAAAAAAAAAAAAAAAAAAAAAAAAAAAAACTTTCAACCCAGACTGATATACCCAGAAAAACTGTCGTTCAAATTTAATGGAGGACCTAGATACTTCCATGACAAAGAACAACCAAGGGAATTCATATCCACCAAACCAACCCTAAAAAGAGAATTGAAAAACATGCTAGATAGAGATAAAGATGACCACAATCTCTAGAACAACAACAGAAAGAAACCACAAGGCTGGCCAAGAAAATAAACAAGGAAGAAAAGCAGGAAACCAACAATAGGAACACAACATGGCAAAGTCAAGCCAGTACATATCTGTGATATCCATGAATGTAAATGGGCTCAATTCACCTACTAAAAGAAACAGGTTGACAGAATGGATCAAGAAACAGGATCCCAAAATATGCTGTGTACAAGAAACACATCTGGCTCAAAAAGAAACTCACACATTAAAAGTCAAAGGGTAGAAAACTGTATTCCATGCAACAAGAACCCAGAAAAAGCAGAGGTAGCTATTCTAATTGCAGACAAAGTGAACTTCAAACCTAAAAGGATTAAACAAGATAAAGAAAGCCACTACATCCTTGTAAGTGCAAAACTACAAGAGGAAGAATTAACAATTATAAATATACATGCACCAAATACAGGAGAACCCAACTATATAAGGCAAATACTAATGGGCATGCAAAACAAAATACAGAATAACACAATTTTAATAGGAGAACTTAACACTCCCCTGTCGCAAAGAAATAGATAAACTAGACAAAAAGTCAGCAAAGAAATAACAGAACTGAGTCACACATGTGAGTGAATGGACTTAGTGGATGTTTACAGAGTGTTCCACCAAACACATCAGAAAATACATTATTCTCAGGTGCGCATGGGACATTCTCCAAAGTAGACCATATATTACCCCATAAAGCATTCTTAACTGAATGCAAAGGGAGTGAAATTATCCCATCCATAATATATAATCATAGTGCACTAAAACTGGAAATCAGTGGCAAAAAAAAAGGCAAAACCTGCATAAATACCTGGAAATTAAATAACAATCTTCTGAATAACCAGTGGGTTACAGACGAAATTAAGGAAGAAATAAATAATTGTATTGTAATACCTACAATACAATGAAAATGCAGATACAACATACTGTAACCTATGGGATGCAATGAAAGCAGTTCTAAGAGGGAAATATATAGCAATAAACAGTTATGTCAAAAAAATGGAGCAAACACAAATAAATAACCTAATGCTACATCTCAAGTTTCTAGAAAAGGAAGAGAAAGTCAAACTCAAAGTTCACAGAACAGAGAAAATTGAAACATTAGAGTAGAAATTAATGTATTGGAAACTAATAAGACAATACAAAGAATTAATGAATCAAAGAGCTGGTTTTTTGAGAGAATAAACAAAATTGAGAAGCCCCTGGCCAACCTTACCAAGAAAACACTAAAGTCCATGCAAAAAGGACTAAAAAGAAGGAAATTACTACAGATCCCATGGAAATTCAAAAGATCATGAACACCTACTTTGAAAATCTCTACTCACAAAGGGTGGAAAAAAAGAGGAAATGGAAAGATTTCTAAGACCATATTGAACTACCAAAGCTCAGTCAAGAAGATATAGCAATTTTGAATAACCCAATATCAGCTACTGAAATAAAAAATGTGATTAAAAACTTACCAACGTAGAAAAACCCAGGTCCTGATGGATTCACAGCTGAATTCTGTAAGAAATTTAGAGAATATTTAATGCCAATACTCTTTAAATTCTTCAATGAAGTTGAAAGAGAAGCAATCCTCACTAACTTGTTCTTGGAGTCAAGTATCACTCTGATATCAAAACCAGAGAAAGACCCAATCAAAAAGGAGAACTATAGACCAGTCTCACTAGTGAGCATTGATGCAAAGATTCTCAATAAAATATTAGCAAATAGAATGCAGCAAATCATCAAGAAGATTATACACCATGACCAAGAGGAATTCATTCCGGCAATGCAGAAATGGTTCAATACACACAAATCAATAAATGTAATATACCACACCAACAGACTCACAAATAAAAGTCACAAGATCATCTCAATAGACACAGAAGAAGCTTTTGATAAAGTCCAACGTCTTTTCATGATAAAAACCCTACAGAAACTTGGAATAGACAGTATGTGCCTCAATCTCATGAAGGCCATCTATGACAAACCAACAGCCAACATTATATTAAATGGGAAAAAAAGAAAAACCCTAAAATCAGGAACAAGACAAGGATGTCCACTATCACCACTCTTATTCAGTATAGTTCTGGAAATATTAGCCAGAGCAAACAGACAAGAGGGATAAATAAAAGGAATAAAAATAGGAAATGAAGAAGTAAAATTATCATTATTTGTAGATTTTATATATATATATATATATATATATATATGTATGTATATATATATCATCTATATACTCTATTTAGTTGGGTGCCCTGTATTTGATGCATGTATATTTATAATTTATGCCTACATAGAAGACTCCAAAAACTCCCTTAAAAGATTGCTAGAGAGATAATAAACAAATTCAGCGGCATAGCTGGATACAAAGTCAACACTCAAAAATCAATAGCATTCCTGTACACCAACAAAAAATTCACCAAAAGAGAAATTATGGAAATATCACCTTTCACAATAGCATCTAAAAATACTAAATACCTAACCAAGAATGTAAAAGACCTATATGCTGAAAATTATACTAATCTAAAAAAGGAGATTGAAGGGGATATTAGAAATTGGAGGGATAGTCCTTGCTCTTGGTTAGGAAGAACCAACATTGTGAAAATGGCCATGCTCCCATACCGTTACACAGATTCTAAGCAATCACCCCATCAAATACCATTAACATGCCTTACAGATCTAGAGAAAACATTTGCAAAATTCATCTGGAAACAGAAGAAACCTAGAATAGCGAAGGCAATTGTGGGCAATGAAGGCATGACAGAAGGTATCTCAATTCCTGACTTGGGACTATACTACAAAGCCACAGTGTTAAAATCAGCATGTTACTGGCAAAGAAATAGACCTGAGGATCAATGGAACAGATTAGAAGATACAAATGCAACTACAAAGACACTCAGCCACCTGATATTTGACAAAGGGGTTAAACAAGTTCACTGGAAAAAAGATAGCCTCTTTAATAAATAGTATTGGAAAAATTGGCTTCCCATATGCTGAAGACTAAAAATAGACCCATGCCTATCACCATACACTAACCTAAAGTCAAGATGGATCAAGGATCTAAGTATTAAAACAGAAATACTAAATCTACTGGAGGACAAGATAGGTAAAAATCTTGGAGACACAGGGGTAGGGGAAGAATTCATTAATAAAATGCAAACTGCATGGTAAATACTTCAAACAATCAACAAATGGTATCTCATATTACTAAAAAGTTTTTGCACTTCAAAAAAATATCACCAACAAAGTGAAAAGAAAACCCACAGAATGGGAAAGAATTTTAGCCTACAATCCTTCAGACAAAGAATTTATATCCAGAACATATAAAGAATTGAAAAACATCAAGCCCCCCAAATGCAAAGACCCTTTCCAAAAATATGCATCAGAGATGAACACACAGTTCTCAGATGAAGATATAAAAATGTCAAATAAAAGCATGAAGAAATATTCACCATCAATGGTCATTCGAGAAATGCAAATTAAAACGGCATTGATATTTCATCACACACTGGAAAGAATGGCTGCATCAAGAATACAACTGATAACAAATGTTGATGAGGATGCAGGATGCACCAAATATTGGTGGGAATGTGGACTGGTGCAACCACTGTGGAAATCAGTATGGAGATGCCTCAAAAAACTAGGATTAGAAGTTCCATTCAAACCAGCTATTCCCTTCCTGGGTGTTATCCCTGAAAAATTGAAAATGTCATGTCACAGTGATGTATGTGCACCACCATATTCACAGCAGCACAATTTCTGATAGCTAAACCCTGGAAATAACCAAAATGCTCATCAACTACAGAGTGGATGAAAATGATGTGGTATTTTTATACAATAGAATACTATTCAGCTAGAAACAATGATGATCTTGAGGTAAATAGAGGCAACTTGAGAATATCCTCATAAGTAAAATAAATAAGCCTCACAGTAAATATATCATTGTCTCTCTAGTATAAAAAATAATAAGAACTGAGAGAATAATGGGACCCAAAAAGTATAATAGATATTATAAAAGTGAGAAGGAAGGAAAGTGCTCTAAAGGCTATTATAGCATGTATAGTGGGTAAGACATGACCATATTACTAAATTTCTACTAGATCACTGAACAGAAGAGATTGCATTGTTGATGTTTGAGTACCTACCAACTTTTTTGCTTTAATATTGTAACTTTAACAACTATTGTTAAGATGACAATATGTAATGTATCAACTAACAATTTTATGATTTTAATTTCTTTTTAATTCTGTGTTCTATTTTTTCTCATTTTTTCTATTTTTTAAAAATTTTCTCTTCTTTCTTTAAATAAAATTTAAAAAACATAAAATTTTTTAAAAGAAGGAAAAATGACCTTTTCTTGACTACTGTACACTGGGAACATTCAAAGGAGTTTTAAAATTATGAACAAATTAACCTACCATTCTAATAGCACTGTTAAACATTTTCAGTGATGAGTTAATTGCATTGTACCAGGTGGTGTAAAGCAAAATCAGATTTGTGCAAAATTTGCTGGAGTAAGAGCAGGAACATCTTAAAAGAGCATCAGTGCATGAAGACAGTATGCTCATCAAGAAGAACTTCATTTACCAAGAATAGACACACACCTCTCATAGTACTGTTCTTTATTTTATTGCTCTTCATAAACAGTGTGTTTTGGTTTCATTTTTATAAATTGAAGATTTGGGCAAAACCACGATTAGCAAATTTTCATTAGTGTATGCCCATTTTAGGACCAATATCCAATTTTAGTAATTTTTATTATTTTTTAAAAACTCTGTAATGGCTCCTCATCATCTACTGAATTTCACATAAGGTCTCCAGTGTGATGTTCAACATCTTACATTATGTATACTTAAGACATATTTCCAGTGTTTTCTTTGTTATCACTTTTTTACCCAAACTATCCATGTAAATTTTTATTTTTAGTGCATGTTCTCAATGCATAATGACTACATTTGATTAATTTTTACATTTTAATCATTTTTTAATTTTTTTGCCATGATGATCTGTAATTATAAAACTTTGATGTTACTATTGTAATTATTTTGAGTTACCCCAAAATAAGCTCATTTATGACAGCAAACATAACTTGGTAAGTGTTCCATGTGTTCCAAGGTATTTATTTTCCCTTCTAATGTCTTCTGGCTTCCTATTCCTCAAGAACAACAGTATTGATATTAGGCCAGTTAATAACCCTATGATGATTTATATGCAGTCACATGAAAGTTAAGAGTCACATGGGGCTCAGGATTTAGCTCAGCAGCATAAGTAGCTGCTTTGCAAGCACGTGGTTGTGAGTTCAATACCCAGTACCAGAAAAAAAAAAAAAAAAAAGTCACATACCTCTTGCTTCAAATCAAAAGCTAGATATGACTAAGGTTAGTCAGAAAAACACATCAAAAACTGAGACAGGCTGAAAGCTAGACCTCTGTGTCAAACAACTACACATTTTGAATGCAAAGGAAACTTTTTAAACAAAGTTAAAAGTGCTACTCTGAGTAACACTTAAATAATATAGAAGCAAAATCTGGAGATTTTTGGCAGCAAAATCTGGAGAAAGTTTGATGATCTGGATAGATCAAAGCAGACACAACAGTGCCTTCAGCAAAGCCTTACTACCCACAGCAAAGCCCAGCTCTTCAATTCCAAAAAGAAGATAAGTGACCTGCAAAACAAAATTTAAAGCCTACAGATTTTGGCTCATGAAGCTTAACAAAGGAAGTTCTTTTCACAGGTGAGGCAGTTGGTACTAGGGGAGCTCGGCCAGTAGCCCAGAAGATCTTTCTGTGATAATTAATGGAGATGGCTTTAGTAAACACAAATTTTTCAAGGTTAATGAAGCAACCTTATATAAGAAGTAGCCACGTAGGATTCTCATAGCTAGAGAGGAGAAGTCAATGCATGCCCAACTTCACAGCCTCAAAAGGTAGACTGCTTCTTCTGTCACAAGGTAAAGCAACTGATGACTAATTTGAACCCAACATTCATTTGTCACACTGAAAATCTTAACAGTTATACCGAATCTATTTGCCTGTGCTCTGTAGAGGAAACAAATTCTGGATGACAGTACATCTGTTGGCAAGATGATTTATTGAATATTTCAAATTCACGGTTGACACTTACTGCATAGAAGAAAAAGAACTCCGTTCAAAATATTTCTGTTTAACTGGGAAAAAAAAAATCTTAGTGAACTGTGCCTCAGAGGACTTCTGTCTAAATCATATAAAGAGTTTAAAAAATCAGATCCCTAAAACTCAAGGACCCAATCCAAAAATGAGCATCTGAGATGAATGCAAAATTCTCAGATGAAGAATACAAATGGCAAATAAATACATGCAAAATGTTTATCATTGTTACTCATTAGATAAATGCAAGTTAAAACCATACTGAGATTCCATCTCACTCCTGAAAGAATGGCCAAGATCAAGAAAACTACTAACAACAAATGCTGGACAGGCTGTGGGGAAAAAGAAACTCTTCTGCACTGTTGGCAAGAGTGCAGACTGGTGCAACCTTTG